CCATGTCTGCATTTGTGATCGGAGAAATAACAAACAACAAGCACTACTCTACACTGCTCAAAACTCGCGTTTGAATCGTCAGTGGCAAATTCTTTAAATATAAAAAACGTACTTACAGTCTGTGAGTCAGAACAGCCGGCATTTTAGTCTACTCTTCCAGGATCAGGAAATAGTCCTCCATAAAATGTGCTGCACACATCTGATTTATAGTCGTGTCCTCTTTTGGAAGTCCAAACAAAGTAGTTTTGCTTTCACAATGAAACACACAGCGTCACACACGGTGGGCTAGAGTGAGCGGAGGCCTAGAGTGAGGAACGGCCGGCGGACTAGAGTGAGCGGAGGCCGGCGGATTTGACGAAGGAGCGTCTGGCGGGCTTGCGGCAACCACATGTGACGACCCCGGGCTGGACTCCGCTTCATCCACGGTGAAAGCCGATCCGGCGATCCACAGCGCGAAGTTGATGTATTTCCTCAGCGACCAGCACGGATCAGTATACGGACGAGTATGACCGTTGCACTCACGTGTTTTGTGTCTCGCACGTGAGTGGCGCCGGCGCGTTAACAGTGCTGCTCATCAATGTCAATTCCAAAACAGTGGACCAATCAGAAGACCCCGGAGGCGGGGCAAGTGCTGCGAGAAGCAACATACTTTATTTAAAACATTTGTTTACAGGAGATGCAAGTTATTATTTTCTACATTTCACATGACAATATTTAAAATGTATTTTGTTTGCAAGAGATGCTGGTTATTTTCTACTTTTGACATGGCAATATTAATTTATATTGTTTGCAAAAAATGAAATTATTTTTTTTAGGAAACTTGCTTTTTACAATAAATTGCTTTTTTTCATAAGATGTCATCATTTCAAGCAAGCTTTGATTTCAGTTGTTCGAAATATTCAACAAATAACCATAAATATTTTGTTTCCTTCAATCATTTTAAAATCACAAAGATAAGAAATGCACTCTTTCATTAGAAAAAAAAATCCCACATTTAATAGTGGAGTATTTTTACACTACAACCCTTTAAAGAACTATGACCCGGAGGCGGGGCAAGTGCTGCGAGAAGCAACATACTTTATTTAAAACATTTGTTTACAGGAGATGCAAGTTATTATTTTCTACATTTCACATGACAATATTTAAAATGTATTTTGTTTGCAAGAGATGCTGGTTATTTTCTACTTTTGACATGACAATATTAATTTATATTGTTTGCAAAAAATGAAAGTTATTTTCTATTATTTTTTTTTTTTAGGAAACTTGCTTTTTACAATAAAGCTGAAATGCGACTTTTTTCATAAGATGTCGTCATTTCAAGCAAGCTTTGATTTCAGTTGTTCGAAATATTCAACAAATAACCATAAATATTTTGTTTCCTTCAATCATTTTAAAATCACAAAGATAAGAAATGCACTCTTTCATTAGAAAAAAAAATCCCACATTTAATAGTGGAGTATTTTTACACTACAACCCTTTAAAGAACTATGAAGGCAAAAAAAAAAACAATAATAAAAAAATATAATCGTTAAATAATCGCAATTGCGGTAAAGTGTTCAATTAATCGAGGTTTTGATTTTAGGTCAAATCGCCCAGCCCTAGTTTGTAGGCATTTTTGCTTGCTAAAATCACTGTAAAACACATATTTAAATGCTTATTGGGTCCATTGTTGTATAACACCAGTGTTGAGTAAATAAAAATTCTGTGTATTACCATTAATAATAATATAAAATTCAACTGATGCACAGTCAGTTTCGAACATGTTTCATCCAATCAGATTTCAGAGGCAGAATCATTTGTTTTATAAAGTGAATAATTTTGCTGCTCTGTGTTGTTGTGTTGCATTGTGACTTGCAGCTCCATATAGTTATTTATCTTTTACGGATGTTGTTTTTTGTGCCTGCAGGGTGTTAAACAGACAGATCACTTTGGATTTATTTGTCGGGATGTGGTGGAGTCTGGCCCAGCCCTGTATGTGTGCTACGTGTTCCAGTGCGCTAGTGAGTCTCTGGTGAGTCCTGACCTGCTTGCAGCACCTGTTGTCCCCACACCGATCAATTATTTATCCTAAGCTACAATGGAAACAATGACTCTCCCTTGCCTATTTTGTGGATATTGCCTTTAGTATGCTGATTTCTCTACCAGCTAAATGCCACCCAGAGGATGAATAGAATCAGACCTATGTTTTTGCACACAGTGTCCCATTTTAATTGAGACAACTTCACAAATTAAAATATTTTATTATTAAATAATAATTTTCAGTGCAAGTCTATTACTGTATACATTTTTCACTTGTTTTGTGTATTTGACCACTTTTCTTTCTGCAAATGCTTTTCACAGGTGGATGAAGTAATGCTCACCTTGAAACAAGCCTTTACCACAGCAGCAGCTCTTCAGAGCTCCAAGAACCAAATCAAACTGTGCGAAGCTTGTCCAATGCATGACTTGCACAAACTCTGTGAGAGAATAGAAGGTACAGCCACCAGCTTCCATCAACTCACTCAATGTCTTTGTTCCACATTTAGTACAATATACCAGTGTGTTTCTCTCTCAATGTCCCAGGTTTGTATCCTCCCAGGGCGAAACTAGCCATTCAGAAGTACCTGTCCCAACTGAGCGACAACGAGCAGGTCAATATATTCGAGCGGGTGCAGGTAGGCACACAAGGAGAAATTTTGCAGACAAAGTAACTAAATATCTTTGAATTTCAATTCCTTATTGCATATTTAGTTTGTATTTTCTCATGCATTAGAAAATGAAGCCAGCATCTGATCATGAAGAAAACGAGCTTGTGATTCTTCACCTCCGACAGCTGTGCGAGACCAAGCAGAAGTCTCATGTTCATATTGGAGAGGCCCCACAGGTAGCATAACTGCACAAACAACATAAATATATGTATGTATGAAAATAATAAATATAAAAATATATACAGGAATATTTGTATATATATATATTTGTTATATACATAATTGTCTATATATAAAGATTATTTTATAAGGTGCTATGGAAACAATGAAATAATGACCTGTCCACCCTTTAAATTCTACAGTGGAAACAAGGGTTTTCTGGGACAAAAAGACACAATTAGCAAGGCTTCCAATGCACTCAGACTGTGCTTTGAGCTCACTTGTGTTTGCTGTGGCAAAGTGTTTAGACGAGTAATGATTTGTCCCTGATGCCTGGTGGTCTTTCTTCCATCATTTTAAAATCTATTGAGTGAAATGTCACCAAGTGCAGAACACGATTTTCATGGATTTCTCAGAAAACTCTAGATGTATGGCACATTCATTCTCACTTACTCACTCTCTTTATACCTTTGTGTGACAGCAGAATGCTTCTGGCAGCACCGTGACCTCTGATAACTCCATTGCGGGCCGCATTAAACTGGACGTGTTCAAGAACAAAACCCGGAGTTCTCTGACAAGCTCCCTGGAGAACATCTTCTCAAGGGTATGTGTGTGTGTTGTGCGTCTTTGTTTTAGTAGTCTGTGAATGGGTATTGACCCATTTACCCCACCCTTGTACAGAATAATACCTTTGTTTGTGTACATTATTATAATGAATCAACCATCTGCTGTATTTACTCACAAAACAATATCTATGTGTAAGGATAAAGCTAAGCTTGAATTGTACATTAGACATTTGTTTGTGTTCCGTTAAAGGAACAGTTTACCTAAAAATTCAATTCTGCCATCATTTGCTCACAATCATGTTGTTCCAAACCTGTATGAATTTCTACAATGGAGCTCAAACTGATTATTTTTTTTCGATGGCAACTGTTTGATTTTGTTACATGGAAAAGAGCAGCATACATTTTTTTCTTCTTTTGCGTTCCATGAAAGACAGAAATCATACAGGTTTGTGATTTATGAATGACATGTTGATTAAATGATGACCGAATTTTTGTTTTATTTCTTTAAAGTGTGTGTAAATGTAAATCCTGACTTTCAAGCAGGTTGCTGTTGTTTCTATATTTTATTTGTTATTAAATATTTTTTCTCTAGGGCGCCAACCGTATGCGAATGCGTCTCGGCAGCATGGGAAGTTTTGACCACGTGAGTATCACACAACACGTGAACATCAGGATCTGTCATTTTAACCCCAGCTCTTGTTCTCTCCCTGCCAAGAATCACGTCTCAGTTCTGCCCTGCCAGCAAGCATGTCTCTGTGGTGTCAGTTACCACTGCATGCTGAAATTAATACCAATGCTGGGTTATGATACACTACATGTTTTTCTGCATCGCCTTGTGTAATATGATTGAATCTGGCCTGTCAGCCTGGTCAGGAAGTCTTGCTTATTTGGGGTGGCTTGTTTTGACCCTGTCTACCTCGCTGTCTCTGTGGGGTGTGAAATGTGAGGTGTGTGTGTGATGGTAAGCTGGACACGTCTCTATGGAAAACAAATCAGTCAGCTCTTCCTTCCCACAGGGTCCTCACATGGCCTCAGAGGCACTGCCAATGTGAGGACCTTCTTTCGTGCTTAAACTTCAGCTCTCAATAACATGATAGAATCCAGCAACTCCTTGCTCATGGCTCTCTTCCATGTTCAATATGTACTGTGAATCATTTCTGAGAATCATTATCATATAGTGAAACTAAAATAGTGATGAAAAAAATTTATTTAAAAGGGATAGTCCAACCAAAAATGAAAAATGATAATTTAGTCACTCCCATGTTGTCCAAATGACTTACTTAAAAATATATTTGAGAAATGTTTTTTTTTGTTTGTTTTTTGTTTTTACATACAATGGAAGTAAATGGTTAGCAGTACTGTTTGGTTACCAACATTCTTCAAAATACATTCCGTTGTTTTTAACAGAAAATTAGTCATACAGTTTTGGGTGAGTAAATGATGACAATTTAAATTTTTGGGTGAACTGTACATTTAAACCATTTTTGTAAAATGAAATAAAATAATAATTAAATAAAATGATTACTAAAAGTACCAGTATTAATAATATAAAAACCTAAACTAATGAAAGTGAGTGGAGAAGGTAATCAAAATAAAAAAATTATCAATAAAAAATAGAAATAATATATATTTTATAAGGTAATGGAAAACCTAGAATGTCAGGGAAGTTTATATATGAATATCTTTAAATTGATGTAGTGAATATCCATTTATCTAGTTATGCTCTGCTCTAAAATATTTAATAGGCTAAATATTGCTTAAAACTTAATCCCAAACAATAGTAATGTCTATTTTAATTATTTAAAAAAAAATCCTTATCCAGAAATCGAAAACAACTGAAAAAATCATGGAAATTCATTGGTCATTGTGTTTAAACTCCAGTTGAAAAAGGATGCATTTTATAACAAAAAATATCAAACCAAGCCATGTCCATAAACTGTGATCAATCATAAAAAATTTGGTTATTACTTTATCGTCAGAACTAACTTTTCTTTTCTTATTCATTTGTACAGTTACTTTTATCCAACTGATCCCAAATTTATCAAACTTAGGTTCCCATTCCCTTTGTGTTACCCTGCCAAGAGAACTATTATGCTGTTTGGATAATTTGTTTTTCCCAAATTTAGCTGTAGGCAGCTGTAGGAAGTGGACAGGGTTTGTGATTTGTGCGAGTGGAAGGAGAGAGCATTGTGCAGCCGTTGCTGGTTTCCTGGCCCTGCTGTGTACTGACTCACAGGAGAGCATGGGTTCAGGAACCACCATAGCGCAGGGACAGGAAACAGAGTGAGGAAGAGAGACCCTTCCTATAGCCATCACAGTAAACAGCAGCCAGAAACCTCCATTGTGCTGCGGTCCACCTCCAACGGCTCATGTGTGTCTGATGTGGCTCTGTGACACAGACTATTAACATACAATAGATCACAAAGTGTGTGAGCAGTCACGCTACCACCAACTTCTGCTTGGGGAAACGAACAGAGACTCAGGCTGGACGGGGAGAGCGAAAGCGCTGGGTGAGTCGAGAATCAGTAGTTAGATGTAGCTGGCAGCAAGTCACTTGTTTTGCTTTGTCTGAAACTTGAAGGTTGTACATGCATATCTCAGAAGATTGCTTGTTTCTGTCTGGCGAGTGGTTGGAATTTGAGGTTTGACTCTTGGATAAGCTGACTTTGTGGATTTTAAGGTTTGAGGAGACCTTGTCTGTATTGCGTATCAGGGTGTTGGGTCCATCTCATCACTGACCTGGTTCATTCTCTGTTCACCCAGCAGGGCGACTCCCCTGGTGACTCCCCACCTGGGACTCCACCCAGTTACACTGAGGAGGACCCAGATGCCCCGCAGTTCCGTCGCCGGGCGCACACCTTCAGCCACCCGCCCATCAAGAAGAAAATCTCCTTCACTGAGGTTTCCTCCCAGGCCTGTAAAGCTCCGCTGCGCCGACAGCAGTCTTTGGCCCCAGAGCTGCTGCAGAACAGGTAATGCATCACTTCCTGTTTGCTCTCATGTGATAAAGTCATATATCTTTCCATCTGTTTTTCAGCAGTCATGTGATATTCAGAACGTTGCAGCGATGTGCTGGCATGCTGAAATCAGCTTGTTGATTTTATTTGCAAAATCATAAATATGGTTTAATACAACACATATAAACTGATAAATGAATGATTTTATCATGAATGCTTACATGGAGAGAGCATGTGGCATGCTGTGTGTATTGCTGGACTTAGCACTAATTCAGATCATTTAGAAAATTACTAAAACTGAAGGATAGGATGTTTGTGATTTTTATTGTTTGATATTTTGTGATCTATATTTGTTATTTTTATGAATCAGCATTTTATTGATGGGATGATAGAGCCTGCCAATTGTTCTAAAAATTAGTTGAATTAATTATATGGCACTTAATTTAACCAGTATCAGCATTTTCTGAGAAATTCACCCAAATGAGGAGATTGTGTCGAAATATTATTAAGAATTTTTTGTTTTGTCTTATAGTTTGTGTTTTGTGCACTCTATTACTTTTTATTACAACTATTTGTCATGTTTTTTTTTTTTTAAATCACTTCAAATACAGATTTTAGAAATGCACATACCGTGGGTACGGAAAGTATTCAGACCCCCTTAAATTTTTCACTGCTGGTTGATACCGATAAGCTGATAATTATTTGTATGTAAATTAGGGCTGGACGATATAGCAAAAAAATGTATCAACGATATAATGTTTCATATCGTTCGGTATCGATAATTATTGACATTTTTATAACCTTTTTTAAAACAAAAAGCAATAGAATTTTTTTTTAAATTTAAACACTGTATTTATAATTAAAGGGGTCATATGATATTATTTTGTGTATTTGGTGTAATGAAATGTGTTTATGCGGTTTAAGGTTAAAAAAACACATTATTTTCCACATACTGTACATTATTGTTTCTCCTCTATGCCCCACCTTTCTAAAACGCATAGATTTTTACAAAGCTCATCGGTCTGAAAAGCAAGGTGTGCTGTGATTGGCCAGCTATCCAGTGCGTTGTGATTGGCCGAATACCTCAAGCATGTGACGGAAATGTTACGCCCCTCACCATACTGTGATGATGCCCTGTCAGTCCGGAGCGATGATTCAAAAACATGAAAACCCATTATAAACGAGGCATTCGTTGCATCCAGTTGGGACATAATTATGGATTATAATGCCTTATACTGTCTTTTTACGCGTTGTGTTGCATCGCGCCGCGCCATGCCGCGTAAACATAAAACCATGTCTGCATTTATGATCGGAGAAATGACAAACAACAAGCGCTACTCTACACTGCTCAAAACTCGCGGCAACCACATGTGACGATCCCGGGCTGGACTCCGCTTCGTCCACGGTGAAAGCCGATCCGGCGATCCACAGCGCAAAGTTGTTGTATTTCCTCAGCAACCAGCACGGATCAGCTCCAGGCATGACGAAGCAGATATCGTCCTCTTTTGGAAGGCCAAACAAAGTAGTTTTGCTTTCACAACAAAACTCACAGCGCCTTAACGACATGGCGGCGGCAACAATACAACAGCGAGAATAAAAGTTACGCCTTCTTTCTTTGCGTGAACATTTGGGCGGCGTTATGCAAATCTCCCCACATAGTGATGTAGATATGTGGGGGCGTGTTAGAACGAGCTGTTTTAGGTAGGCGTGGCTGACTCATAACTTTTATAAAGAATATCTCTTTGGATTTGAGACTTTAGTCTTTGCAACTTTACAGATTTTCTTAATGCACCAAGAGCTTGTAACACTCCAAAGAGAAAGGAAAGATTGAAATCGCATCATATGACCCCTTTAACAAAATGTATTGAGACAAACACATATTTTTTTGTTTTAACAATCAAACACAATAAAAATTTAAACCAATATCTAATTTCTAATGTTTTATATGCAGATTAAATAGGTCTTTATTGTATAGGTCTAATTGTCTCCAGAGGCCATAGGAGGGCGCAATGAGCAAAATAATGCAGCACATTTAAATTGTCAACGCAAGGAAGTGAATAACGCAGCAGCGGTGTGTCTCGGGGGCTAGACTTAACAAAACATTAAAATGCAACAACTTCACTTACATTATCACCGCATCTCGTGCTCCACTGATGACGCTCCCTGACGCACACCTAACATTCAAATGCAAATGTTTATTTTAAATTCAACTAATATTCATTCTTTATTCACAATCTCCTCATCACATGCAGGCACAGCACTCATTTCAGCATATGTTCATGTTTGTGTGTGCTGTCTGCGTCACTCATAGTACATGCCTATATTGTGCGCTATATCGAACATTTTTTCTATCAATATCGAAGAAGGTGTACCGTCGATAAATATCGATACCGTTTTATCGCCCAGGCCTAATGTAAATGCCAATAACTGATACATGGCTGATATTTTAAAAATTTTCAAACGTTAAATAATTAAAAATATAAAAAAATACAAATGTAAATTCAAATCAAATTGAATATTAATTTTGAGGTTCTGCTAAAGATTGTAGTTTATTAAAATGTATATAATAGTTGAATTTATTGATTAAATTAATTAGTGTTTATTATAGATTTTAAGCCACCAGTATATGGCAGCAAAAGTAATCCAAATGTAAAAATAGGAGGAAATGAACATGCATAATTAAATATCCAATATTAGCCAATATATATCCAATATTAAAAATATATTTACATTTTTTAAAATAAAAATCATTAAATAACCAATGTTGTACAGATTTATTGTGCATCTCTAATATATTTTATAGTTTTGATATCTCTGATATATGATATATTTTTGTCAGAATTTTTACTTTTCCAGCATTTAAAAAAGTAACTATAAAAATCTCTCTTTCCTAAGCAAAATCTATGCTCTTGAAGGAGTCTTTCTTCTGCTCAGAAGCTCTCATGTGTTCTAGATTGTGGTTTCATGGCAGTGTTTAGACCTCTGTAAAGTAATGTGTATTTGTTGTGGGCCTTTTATGTTTCGGCTCCCTCAGCACCGTTGGTTACACGAGAGTGCGCAGTGTCTCTGAGAGCGAGTCCTACTTCAGTCTCTCATCCTCCTTCCACACCCCCACTTTCCTGAAAACCTTTTACCAGGGCTCCCTCGGCTCACTGGCCTCCCTGTCGGACAGCGGGAGTCTTAAGAGGTGAGAGGGGGCTTCGGTTACAGACCGTTCAGTGTCCGTTTCCCCCGGGGGTGCCTGAGGTTCGAGCTGATGGCGTCCGCCTTCTCTGCGCCTGTCTGTTTCTTAACCCAAAGGCTTCAGTCACTTTGTCATCAGTCAAGAAGAACCACTTCTGTAACATACTCTCTCTTCCTGTCAAAATTGTTGGACTTTGTCATTGTCCACTGGACACAAGGGATGCATTGTTTGCATGTTGGTGTCTTTACTAACTAATGATAAACAAAAGCATTTATCATCTATATTGCATCAAACTGCAGAACTTTCTACTAATCTATACTCATATTGAGAATAATTTATGCTGTTATGTTGCATAATAATTCAGAATTCATTTTTAAATAATGTTGCCAGGTTGGTTTGAAAAATTGAAATGATCTTTAGTTCATCTGTGGTGTTTTCATTTCTGTTCGTACCTGACTAATTTTTCTTTTCTTTTTTGTAAATAGTTTAGAAATGGTCCAGAATAGAGGCATTCAAATATTCATTTATGCAAAGCGGGCTTGAAATAATAGGCTTGCATGTCAGTCTGGTTTTAGAGTGGTTTTGAGTAGAGATAGACCAGCCTGTCCAGGCTTGGAGAACATCTAAAACCAGCTAAAACCTGCAAACCAGTTTTATAATGGCGTTTTCAACATGATGGAGCTTTAAGAGATCTTTAATTAAAACTAAACTGCAACTCGTTCAGAAATCTTTGAATGCCTGACATAAAAAAACTGACATTAACACATACCCACATTTACAGTACAGATATTTGTAGGTATTTCAACAACAGTTTGATGTTGTTATTAGTTCACCCAAAAAAATTAATCATGGGATAAACCATTTACTCACCCTCATGTTGTTCCAAACCTGTATAACTTACTTTCATCTGTGGAACATGCAAGAAGATACAATGGAAGTCAGAAAACTGTTAGGTTACCAACATTTTTGAAAATATCTTTTGTGCTCTGTAGAAGAAACGACAGGAGGGTGAGTAAATGATGAGAGCATTGTTTGGATGAACTATCCCATTAAATAGATTTTGTGTTCTAAAACCAGTTAATGTGGTCATATAACACATTTAATTTTTTCTGAGGGTTAACCAATTTTTTGTGCTAAAAACTGTCAGTTTTGCTTTACATATCCACTTGCACGCTCTCTGACCCTTAACAAAGCTCCTCCAGTGAACTGAATTTATAGCAGTGGTTGTCAAGGGCGAGTGTATTAGGATAGAGAACATGAACAGTGAAACCATGTGTGGAATATAGACCCTCTCCCAAGGGTCTCTTTACAGGACAATACTGTTTGACCAGGCTTTTGTGCGAGTGGCTTGGTCTACGAGCGCGCCTTCATCTGAACAACAGCCAACTTGGACTCACTGACAAATGATGTTCCTCGATGGTCCTCGATGTGTATTCGCCCTTCATTTGTTTGACATAGCGGGCTCTAATGATCCAGTGAGTGCTCTGGAAGGAGGAGATAACATTTAAAATGTCACATCCTTGGCCCTGCTCTGTTTTCTACAAATTGGAGAGAAGGTCTTTCTCTCTGTCTGTTGAATGTCACCAGCTTTCTCTTCTAATTGAATGTGCAGCACACCTGCCGGTGTGGCCATCTGGGTTAGTCCATTTCTTTAGCCAGCGTTTATTGCATAACATTCAATCCCGTTTCACACGTTCATTAACTCCATCTGAAGTGTCCTTGTGTATTGTTGTGGTAACTAAGTGAAGAGACAGAGACTAGCAGGATAAAAATAGGCAGAGACTAGCAGGATAAAACAGATTTGAATAGACTTTAAGCACATTTTGTTTCTGACTTATAGATATTTCAACTTTTTGGACTCTTTGTAAAATGTTTTATATAATGGACAAGAGGTTGCATACACACAGATAAGCACACAAAAATATTACACAGCACACCGGTTTTCAACATTGCCAATAAAAAGGAAGTGTTTCTTGAGCACCAAATCAGCGTATTAGAGTAATTTCAGAAGGAACATGTGACACTGAAAACTGGAGTAAAGGCTTCTGATGGCTTTGTCATCACAGGAATAAGTTACATTGCAAAATACATTGTACATGCGTTGACTGAATGTTTTGTATTGATTGGTAGTGAAAAGATCTAAATAATGATTTGTGTAAAGTTCCTGTGTGCATTCTTCAGCAATTCCTCATTCTGTCCACTTCCTAATAGTTTTCTCTTTCTTTAAAACAGGTAATCTGTGTTTTATGTACTTTATGCATGAATCTAATTAACATCTCTTATGACTGTCTAAATGCACTTTTGCTTCTATGTTACACAAATCTGTGTTGTTTATTAGCGTATAACTGGTTTGACCACCTGTTTTGAGAGTACACGGCCTAAAAATGTTGCTTTTCTACTTGTTTGAATTAGCATATCTTGTTTTGTTTCTCTGCAGTGGTAATGGAGAGGGCAGGAAGAGGTCTCTGTCAGGCTGTAGCACCGATTCTTTGACCTTGGTGCCTCCACGCAGAGTTTCTTGGCGCCAGAAGATTTTCCTAAGGGTGGCGTCACCCATGAACAAACCCTCTGCTTCTATGCAACACGTGGGTGGGTGTACATGCTTTAGCGCACACACAGACAGGTGCAACATTACACCCTGTTCTCCTAGCAGTCTATTTATAGTCAACGTTGCAGGAGAAATCATTGTTCTGCAAGCTTTAGAACTTCCAAGAGAATTCTCCCTTTTACTGAGATTCAAGAAAAGAAAGAGTAACCATGGTATATATTAGGGCTGTCAAATCGATTCATCGCAATAAATCGCATGCAAAATAAAAGTTTGTTTACATAATATATGTGTGTGTACTCTTTATGTTTCTATGTATATATTTATGTTTTATATGTATATATAAATACACACACACATACATTTAAGAAATATTTATATGTGTGTGTATATATATATACATGTGTATATATATATATTCATATTTATATATGATTTATTATATAAATATATATATACTTCTTAAATATATACATGTATGTGTGTGTATATACATATAAATATACAATATATTATATATACTTCATAAATATATACATGTATATGTGTATATACATATAAATATACACAGTACACACACATATATTTTGTAAATAAACTTTTATTTTGGATGCGAATAATTGATTTGACAGCCCTATTATATATATATATATATATATATATATATATATATATATATATATATATAAAATATAAACAAATATATGCACGGTATAAGTTAGAATATAAATTTTTTTGTCAGGGAAATCACTCAATTTTTTTTTATTCCATGCCATTTGAGCATAAGCCTTAGACTTTTTGGTCAGCATCTGCTGTTTTTCAGACCACATGGATGGCCGGGAGCTGCTGCCACTTTCTCCTCGGGCTCCTCAGGTCAGCCCCCTGTCCCCAGAGCAGGGCAGTCCAGCTGACTACAGGGCCCTGTGGAAGAAAGCCATCCACCAACAGATTTTGCTCATCCGCATGGAGAAAGAGAACCAGCGCCTGGAGGGTTAGTGTTTCTACCCCTCTCTTATAATTTAACATTTATACATTCTAAACCCCTATGAGTTTCCATTAAGCATGAAAAGACATGTATTGCTGATCTAGATTTTATATTATATAAATAAACATGAATGGTGATATATAAATAATAACTATAATATATATAAAAAAATAAATATCAATTGAATGGTGCAGTCATCAGGGGATGACTATTTTCACATTTTTCTGAAGGCATACAGTAGGTTTGAAACCTACAGAGAAACAGATCAAAATATAACTCGTTACTCAATGATAATCTTACCATGTTGGTTTTGGTTACAGAACGCATGAAATCCAATGACATTTGGTGTCTTGGACATCAAACCTGCCAAAACGCGCCTTGACATGGTAATTTTGAGTTTGTAAATAATAGTAAATCAACACTGGAGATTATTTTAAAACATCTCTTATTGTGTTGTACAAAAGGAAGTTAGTAATGTTTGTAACGACATGAGGGTGGGTAAATTAATTTTTTTTTTAGGTGAACTAACCCTTTAAATAGTTACTGTAGCTCAAACATGGCACTAGCAATGCCAAGTTTAATGGGTTTGATTCCCAGGGAATGGATAAAATGTTAAAATAATCTTAATCTATAAACAGTTTATAAAAAGTCTTGAGAGCAATCTAATTCACTATATAAAAGTTTCAGTTGCATAAAAACCTACAGCAGTAGTTCAGCATTTATGGGACATTATGGAGTCACAGAAAAGGGAGTGTTTCCTCCCATCACTCCGGTTAGACTGTTGTTTTTTTCCCTGGCCTTATTTTTAGAGGGGCAAGTGCCACTGCCTCTATTTGACATTCTGGGGCAAAGTTAATTATAGATGGGAATGTCTGGATGACGTTCACATTCTTTAAGAGTGCACTTGCAGTTCTGTGACCTCTAGGCTACATATTCAGCCTTAGTCTTTAAGAAATAGTTTTTTTTTTTTAATTAGTGTTTGAGTCTCTTTAACTCATTATGAAAGGTTAATATTGTCTATTAGTTCAACTTTGTTTTGGAATAGCAAAGCTTTGTGAAATATTGCCCTCTGTTGGCCAAACTGCATCACACATATGAGTCAAGTCACTTCCTCTACCTTTTTTTGTTTTTGGTGTTTTCTGTCTTTTTTTGTGTGCTGTTGGATGGGCCGAACTGAATAAACATGTTTGAGTAGAAGGTAAGAATTTATACGGCCAAGACATTGATGTCTCGCCTGAGCAGGCTGCACTTGAAGCAGTTGTTGGCATGATATCATTGTTTGGCTGCAATGTAGTACAAACCAGCATGAGGCAGATAGCTACATGTTCTCAAGTGCAGATAGGATATAATTTCCTCCTGCCAAGTGCAATAATTGTGGAGTTAAAGAGCGTCTTCTTGTTCATCTGCAAAGATGTTCATGTATGTTTTTACCTTGATAGTACAAATATGTTGTGATGATTTGTTAAGGTAACTTTAAAAGGCCATGCCATTCTGAGCCTTGTCTAAAGTTGCTATGGAAACTTGTGGTGCATATAATCCAAAATATGAGCAGCATGCTACAGTTTATTCGCAGTGATGCATGTTTGCCTGTGTAGCTTCTATTGTACATGCATTGCTACAAACCCACTTTTTATTTGTTTTTACAAACTGAAACTGATCAAATGATTATATGCATGACAGTGATGAATGGTTAGTGGTTCTGATTTTGCTTGTGGACCCAGATTTTACACCGAACATTAAGCGGTAAACTGACACAATACGAAAACTGCAAATAAAGAAAATGTTCTTTGAATAATGTGATGAATGTCTCATTTTATATGAATTATACATATGTTAAGAACATATTTTTTTATTAAGTTCTTAAAACAATCTGATGAATGGCATTTTATTCTGAATCATGTTGATATAAAATAGGAATTTAAATTTTGAATGCAATTTAAATTGCATTTAGCATGGTTTTCCTCGTCTGTCCACATTTTTGGGTCACACCTCAACACTTCAGAACCACTAACAAAGAATCTACCTCTGTCTCTATGGTAAGAGCAGGTGATGGACATGATGCATTTTCATTTTGACACCTAGAATTAGATCCAAAGAGATAGGACATAATAACAATGCATTAAATATCAGTTGTTCTATTAGTCTGAATAAATACATTTTAAACCTCACTTTTTTCCCCTGCAGCCAGCCGTGATGAATTGCACATTCGTAAAATGAAGCTGGACTACCAGGAAGTGTGTCAGTGCTCAAAAGAGGTGCCGGCCCTTTGGGACAGGAAGTTGAGTAGTCCCTGCCGCACTAAAGTACAGTGGGACAAAGAAGAGATCCACAGTGCTGTATGCCAAGGTATGAACTGTTTAATCTGTTTACTTCCATCAATAAGACCATCATAGAGATACAATTTTTGTTTCTTACTATAATGTACACTAACATTCAAAAATTTGGGGTCAGTAAGATTATGTTTTAGTTTTTTCAAAGAAGTCTCTTATACTCACCAAATCAAACAATAATAATGGGAAATATTACTACAGTAGTTTACTATCAATATGTTTTAATAATTTATTCCTGTGACGGTAGCTGAATTTAACAGGCATTAGTTCAGTCTTCAGTGTCACACAGTCTTTCAGAAATTATTTTTTCTATGCTGATTTGGTGCTCAAAATACATTTCGTATTATTAGTGTTGAAAATAGTTGCACTTTTCCCCCCAGGATAGCTGATGAATATACAGTTCAAAAGATTATTTAAAATCGATTTTTTTTGGTTATATTTGAAATAGTAATTTCATTTGTACAGTAATAATGTAAACCTCTTTCAAAAAAATCGTAAATTCGAATATTTCATAAAAATCTGTTTGATCAAGTGAATGTGTCATTGCTAATAAACATATTCACTTTTGACTTGTAGTGCATATATAGTTGTAGATGCTTACATTTACATGTGAAGTTGTTTTGCTATTTTTAACAACCCATAGAGTTCCTCACTCTTTGATTGTATGTGCGTTCTCTGTAGGTGTCCCCAAAAGTCGGCGAGGTGAAGTGTGGCTCCTGCTCTCTCAACAGTATCGTTTGCGTCACCGTCTGCCGCAGCGGCAGCAGCCCCCTGAAACCCCTTATCAGGATCTCCTCAAACAGCTCACAGCACAGCAACACGCCATCCTGGTGGACCTCGGTCTGTATCTAACCAAAGTACTTATAGTTTGTGCAGCTAATTCACATGCACATCAGAATACTGTTATATTTTTGACCCAGCACATTACTGAAGTGATGTTCCCATTCTTTCCAGGCCGGACATTCCCAACACACCAGTATTTCAGCACTCAGCTGGGAGCTGGACAGCTATCTCTGTACAATCTCCTGAAGGCCTACTCCCTGCTGGACACGGAGGTGGGCTACTGCCAGGGGATTAGTTTTGTGGCCGGTTTGCTGCTTCTGCACATGAGCGAGGAACAGGCTTTCGACACTCTCAAGTTTCTCATGTATGACCTGGGCATTCGCCGACAGTACCGTCCCGACATGATCTCTCTGCAGGTGCGCTGTGTGTGTAAGAGTATCAGTTTTCACTAGTTCATGTTTTTTCTTTCAGAACTGGTATGTTTGCTTATCTGATTATGCCTGTTGTTAAATGTAGCAGGACTGGTTTTGTGACAATTAACGGAATGAGCGAGTATGTTAGTTTGTTGAACTGAATGTTATGTGAATTACCTTTCTGTTGTATTAAAAACTATATTATTAAAGAGATTGAATAAATGAAAAGAATAGTACTTTTAACACGTTTGTTTAATATTATGTACATTTTAGTAAACATAGGGGCTTAAAAAGCTTTGATTGACATGTTTGGCCAGTTAAATACTACTCAATTTTTCTCACACCTCTTTTGTCGGACACTTTAATTTTTAATATAAATGAGCAATAAGCGAAACATAAATGTTTACATATTTAGTGGTGTTTTAGTCCTCATAGTGTTTATAAAAGCTTGGATCGCCATGTTTAGATCACATGACCAGCTCAATACTACTCACTTTCTTGGTTGCGCCTCTTTTATTGGACACTTTAATAAGTAGGCTAAATTAATAATAAATATGGTGATGAATAGGGTATTGTTAAAGGTAGGGTATTGTTGCTAACTGAAATGTTTTTGCTTAATGCTACATCCACACCACTAGGTGTCAGTCTAACATTCAAAGTGACTGCTTTATTGGCTGGCGAAACATAAATCAAAATGTAAGAAATGTACTTTCTGTGACTGTAAATTTAACATCCTAATTTTGTTACAGGGACCAGAACAGGGAGTATTTTTAATACACTAGATTTAAACACACATTTGCTCAAGCGGTATGCAAACAGCCGTCTCCACCTCTTGTACACTGTTTCCTCCTCAGCTGTTAGTGGTTATTCATCATCAGATGTGCCAATGTTTAATCCCGTGGGAGAGAGCCCGTCTCAGCCAGTCGCATTTGAGCCTGTTTAAAGTTCACTCCTCTAAGTGTGAGGACTTTTTCTTCTTTCTCTCTCTCTGTAGATCCAGATGTACCAGCTGTCACGACTGTTGCACGACTATCACCGTAACCTGTACACTCACCTGGAGGAGCACGAGATCTGTCCCAGCCTGTACGCCGCACCCTGGTTTCTCACTCTCTTCGCCTCTCAGTTCCCACTCGGCTTTGTTGCCCGTATATTTGGTAAAGTTCACTTTCTACCTAACTAACTAGATGAATGTATGTGATGGGGTTCGGGTGAACCTTAGGATAGTGGTGAAATGATCTTGTGTGTTAAAATGTATGTATTTCACACATAAGTCAAGTATTGTAGCCAATGCATAGCCTTTGACTCTTGTGCATGTATGTGTGCTGTGTGGCAGACCTCCTGTTTGTTCAAGGCACGGAGGTGATTTTTAAGGTGGCCCTGTGTTTGCTGAGCAGCCACGGGGGAGAGATACTGGAGTGTGACGGCTTTGAAAGTATTGTGGACTACCTTAAATCCACCATCCCCACCCTCACTCATAGCCAAATGGAAGAGACGATCACTAAGGTACATTTAAAATTGAAAAATTCCTGCTACATGTCTGGGGGTTTTGTATTAAATTATCTATTTCATCCCAAAAAAAAGAGACACTTTTTACACTTTAAACACTCATGTTACTCTGGCAGTTTGCACATAACTGTGGACATTTTTTGAATATTAAGATTTTCATATGAAATGTGATGTATTTAATATGGTCTACAGTGTGACAAAATGTTATTTTTTTAATATTCATACAATGAATGTAAGTATATAAATAATATCAGCCACAGTGTTATTTTAGCATAATTTATATAATATTACAGTATTTAATATTTTAGCCTTTATTTTTATATTTTCAGTTTTTTTTAGCAATTTTAGTTTGTTAGTTAGTTTCAGTAATTTTAATAAAGTAATATTTTAGTAATGTATGTTTTAATATTTGTTCTTAGTTCATTTTTAGTACTTCAGCTTAAACTTATTTACATTTACATATAAACATTTCAAAATTTCCACACAGTGTTTTTTATATGTAGCATGCACTACACTAGAATGCACTCTATTTAACCACTTGGTGGTGCAACTTGCTTTTCAAAAATCAACAGACTGTTTTCTTGAAAAGAAAATTCATTGACTAGAATTTTTATTTGACAGTTTTTGTTTATATTTGGATATACTTTATGTAAAGGTATGTGTGTGAGTCTCAGATAGCGTTTAACTTTAATGAACCTGTGCCATATTCTCTGAAAATAACTATCAGTATGAAATGTGGTTTGCAGGCAATCGAGATGGACATCTCCAAGCAGCTGCATGCGTATGAAGTGGAATACCACGTCCTGCAGGATGAGCTGTCTGACGCTCCTCCACCATCAGAGGACTCCGATAGACTAGATAAACTGGAGAAAGCTAATGCCCAGCTCAAGAAACAGAACATGGACTTACTAGAGAAACTGCAGGTAGATGTATAACAATATCACAGCATAAGTACAACAACAAGTAGTGGTTTGAAAAGCAGGCAAGTGTTTTGTTCCTTTATTGCCAGTGTTTGGCTGCACAGAACAAAAGACAAACAGCTTGAAACCTAAGATCTTTACAGATGCAACTCTGTTTACTACCAAAGAATATTAAAATAGAATTTTGGTGTAAAAATAATGGACATTCAACTGATAATCGCTTGTTGATTTATCATCCATAAGTTTTAATGAATGTGGGAGAATTAATTATCCTTGAAACTCCATTAGTGTAAACATGTGACGTCACAACTTGCTTATCTCCAAGTTGTTCCTAAAAACAACCTGTTGCTTAAAATAAGCAAAACTAACAATTACTAATAGTATTAGTTGAGCCATTGGATCTGACTCACTTTACCACACAAGTTCCCATTTTTGGAAATGCCTTATTTATTTATATATTTGTTATTTTTTCCTGAATTTTTCATTGTTCTATTCCCAGAAATTTATCAGCACACATTAAAGTATATATACTGTATATAGTTTTATATTTCACATACTGGTAAAAAATGTATAGCCTGAATGCACTGTAAGTCGCTTTGGATAAAAGCGTCTGCTAAATGCATAAATTATTATATATATATATATATATATATACACACTGTGTATACACTTTTACACTTTAAACACTCATGTTACTCAGTTGGCACATAACTGTGGACATTTTTTGAATATCAAGATTTTGGTCTACAGTGTGACCGAATTATCCTTGAAACTCCATTAGTGTAAACATGTGACGTCACAACTTGCTTATCTCCAAGTTGTTCCTAAAAACAACCTGTTGCTTAAAATAAGCAAAACTAACAATTACTAATAGTATTAGTTGAGCCATTGGATCTGACTCACTTTACCGCACAAGTTCCCATTTTTGGAAATGCCTTATTTATTTATATATTTGTTATTTTTTCCTGAATTTTTCATTGTTCTATTCCCAGAAATTTATCAGCACACATTAAAGTATATATACTGTATATAGTTTTATATTTCACATACTGGTAAAAAATGTATAGCCTGAATGCACTGTAAGTCGCTTTGGATAAAAGCGTCTGCTAAATGCATAAATTATTATATATATATATATATATATATACACACTGTGTATACACTTTTACACTTTAAACACTCATGTTACTCAGTTGGCACATAACTGTGGACATTTTTTGAATATCAAGATTTTGGTCTACAGTGTGACCAAATAATTTTTTTTAATATTCATACAATGAATGTAACTATATAAAAATATCAGCCATAGTGTTAGTGTGTGTGTGTAAGCAAGAGCTTCTTTCTGCTATTCTATATTCGAGTGTTGAACATAATATGGCAAAAAGTGACATTAAGAAGTGTTAGTGCTGGCCTGGTGGGGGTTTCCAGTGCCGTGAATATTTGAACTGATCAGCTTTCTTTTAGATATTGACTGTTTTTTGGAATAATTTTCTTTGACATCGCAAATTGAAAAGACTTGCATATCTTTGAAAGAGTCAAAACATATGCGCACGTTTAATCAAGGGCCGCAAATACTGTACATCACCTGTTCAGAGGAGGTTCATTCTAGCAATACACCGAAAGTTTAACAATGTGAAGGATGGGGGACAAATGATTCATCGTCACATTGTCCAACTTTTCAATATTTCTCAATGCTATAATAAAACAGGATGTCTTCATGCAAAAAAGACATAAAGCAAATGGTCTGATGTGTTTGATACACCAGTCATTCGTTTTCATACTTTGTTCAGTGTGCCAAAACTCGTAAATCATTACGTCACGTTTCCATTGTCACATGCCGCCGAAGTTTTGTTGGACTACATTTATTTTGGATGCACTCTTGTTTGCAATGAATCTTTGGTCACCATTGAAAGTGTGTGTGTGCAGTGTGCAAACAATGTCTTGATCTTGAGTTGTCAGTCCATTAAAATACTCCATTAAAATCAACTTTTTATACCTCAGTTTCCGTTTATTGTTATTCTTAGTTGTTCTTGCCAAGGTAAGCATTCTGTAAACCTACACTGAAGGAAGGACACAAGTCACGAGAGAGTAGTCTTTTGACTGGGGCAGTAAGCAAACTCCTAGCAACCACCCAGAACACCTAGCAACCACATTGCAAGTGCTCAAAGCATTCAGAACATCATAGCAACACAATGGCAATCACAATGTACATTTTTGTAGTTTAATAATATGTAACTAGACTCAATATAAACTTGAATAATGATGCATGATGATCAAAACTGCCATAGTTATTTTTAGTGTTTTACATGACAGTTTATTTGCAGTATTATGGGATGCATGGACATCTGCCAATAACATTGTAAAATGTCAGTCATACCAGTCAAATAAATATATTCAGGGCTGGGAAGATACGAATGTGGTGTGTACGTTTACACCATCTAACAACTGAGAAAAACGATAAAGTGATATTTTAAGTGTGATTATTTTTGCTGATTCATTTTATGCTTTTATTTCCACACTTGCATTAGATTTTCATCCTCACATTTGTATGAATATGTAATTCTATGCATTACTGTTTGAGGCACAAATAATGTGTACGATGGCAAGAGCACCAGAATCCCTTTAAGACCTAAAAATGATGACATACTTGAGCCAGTTTGCATTATTTTCTTCACTGTCCAGTAAACAGAGCCTCCTACAAACAGAGCTTGAATTTGAAATTGAGCCCTATGGTTGTTCCCTTGACCGGAGGCTGTTAAACAGCAGGTCCGAGACTCCAGTCATGGAGAGTTGGCTGTGTTTCTCCTTTATCTCAAGGCCAGTATTGGTTTGTAATACCACCACTATTTCGTGATGTAAATTTCAGACTTTTATAATGTTGCCATTGCAGGCATTTAATACAACAAGACAGCCTGAAGATGTTTTTGGTTTAGTGAAGTCAACAGGACTGCATATTTCATTGATTGCTCTCTGAGGTGATGTTTGAAAGTCAGTGGTGAATTAAAAGGTTGCCGTTATGTGCCCTGTTGTTATTAATACATATTCAGAGGAGAAATAAAGAAGTTCTGCTGGTTTAGTAGGGTATGGGAGTGCAGGAATAATTGTAATGCACAATCATTTATTAAATAAATATTCACAGTTGCTGTATTAGGTACTGTATATGCACAATTCAGCCCTCAGTCTCTTCCTAAAAGAATAAACAATTTTATTTACATTATACATGGATAAAAAAAAAAGTTATGTACAGTAAAAAAAAAATAAAAACGTTTGGTTTTATTTACATAATATTATTTATATAATACATAAAATGTTATTACATTTATTTATTTTTCCCTTTTTTTTTTACATTAAATCATTTAAAATCTAGTCACATTATTTTGAACACTTATTTCTTCAGAATATGCTTTTTTATTGTTATTATTAGTGCTGTCAAACAATTAATCATGATTAATCGCATTCAGAATAAAAGTTTTTGTTTACATAGTATATGTGTGTGTGTACTGTGTATATTTATTATGTATATATAAATACACGCATGTATAGTATATGTAAGAAAAATATGTTATTTTTATTTTTATGTTTATATATTAAATATATTTATATATAATATAAATTATATGAATATAAACATATACATGTTAATATTTTCAAAACATGCTGTATGTGTGTGTCTTTATATATACATTATAAATATACACAGTACATACACATATATTATGTAAACAAAAACTTTTATTTTGGATGCGATTATTCACGATTAATTGTTTGACAGCACTAGTTATTATTCTTTTTTGGTCCTGTTTTAATAGTAATATTTAAAAAAATACATTAAAGTGTGGATAAGAGGCAGATTTAAAAATAAGTTTGTATTTTATATATATAATTCAGCAATATGATCAATGATAGTGATACTCTTACAAATGGATCATCTTTGGAGAGTTTAAATGATGTGTTTTCCTTATCAACTTGTCTTGCTGTGCATACATAAAGTCATGATCTGAAGATATAGGATGTTTTGTATTGACTAACTTTAATATGCACACATAAAATGTAATTATTTATATTATGGGGCTTTTTCCATTTACTGTTACATTTATCACATACCACTGTTACTAATATATAGTTATGACTGTTTACAATATAAAAAATTGAAAATCTGCCTTTTTGAATTACTAGTTTAATTGCATCTCTTATATTAAACGAACAAAGGTTTTTATTAAAATAATTATTCGTTATTACAGGTTTTACAAGTATTTATAAAGGGAGAGTGAAAAACATACTGAATAGAATCTCAAGCACCTAGAATAAAAAAAAGAATATAAAAAGCTACACGTAATTAATTTTTTAGACATATTATACATGTTTAAACTAGAAAGGACTTCTAATATGTAAAAGCTATGGATTTGAATTTTTTTTTCAATTTTTTCCAAAAACATTTGAATAAATAAGTATTAGGCTGACCTGTGAAAGTATAATGGAAGCCTGGTTTGATTGTGTTAGGCCTGATAAATGTCTATGCTTATGCAAAAGAGCATCAGTACTTTCACAACCACATTACTCAGAAGAATTGCAATTTTTGGCATAGAAAGTGGTGATATGTAGTCTTGCAAGATAGATGGGAAGTTAAGCCCAATTTTCCTGCAGGGAGTAGACAATGACTCATTGGACCAGATGTAGGACCAGCTGAGAGATGGAGACAGCGCATTACCCACCCTTCGTTTCGATAAACCTCCTTTTGATGGCGAGAGGATGCAAAAATACCACACTTGGAGCATTGTCACAGCGCTTATCTCTCTCTATGAACAAAAGGAAGCATACTGTATGTGTTCCCTGGTGAGGGCGTTTCCTGTGGAGGGGAAATGCCTGGACAGATCGTGGAAGTCAGTAGGGGATTGCCGCACAGAGCACTTCCTTTGCACAACCTTATCAGTGCTTTTTGTTTAATACCACATCCATGCTCCCACTCATAGAGATGCACAATAAAGGGCCGTATGTCAAAGATGGAGTGCTACAAA